GGGGGCCGTTTTGCCCCAGTGTGGAAAAAAGGAGGGTCTGGTGCCCACCGTTCTGCCCGCAGTGCCTGGACGTGGCTCTAGAGGTCTCCCTCGGACAAGATATGGCGGCCGGTCACAGCCCCTCTCCTGGATCTTGAGATCTGCTCTCCCAGAAAGGTGATTTGATGGCGCATGGTTATTATTTTCGAAAGAGAAGAAGAGAGCCCTGGAGGTCTTCTGGCAGAGCAAAGGGAGGGCCATCCCAGGAGAGACTGACCTCCGCCAGTCACCTTTTCTGAGGATGTCTGGGGGCAGCCACCCACTTCCTTGGCACCAAGGGGCTGTCAAGCAACAGAAGGCACGCCAGAAACAAGGGTCGCTCCTTTTTTTGGGACCACGAAGAGATTAAAAATGGGCAAGTTTTAATATCCAACAGGACTCTTCTTCAGGATGAGTATTCCTGGGCTTGATGGGGTGATGGAAGGGGGGGGGAAGATAGAGGCTCAGAGTCGTATTCCCTGCAGTTTGGGGAATCTGTGGAAAGGCAGTGTGGTGACCTTTCTTTTTTTGAAGCCTCACTTCTGCTCTTGCACCTTCCTTGTTGCAAATTCACTGGGTCTATCCTGTCTCAGTGGGTGCTAGCAGAGGTGACCTCTGAGGACGTACAGAGTGTCTTTTGCTGGCCTCTGTATGGGCAGGCTAATTGGTCCTTACTGATCCCCACCTGAGAGGTCTGGACTGTTTATGAATGGAACGAGGAGACACTCGCCCCTAAGTCTGGAGTTGAGCCCCCCCGCCCCCGCATGGACCATGGTCAACCTCCAGGGAGAAGGCAGAATGGCACCCATTCCGGCCTCTGCCTTTTTCGTAGCTCAGCAATTCCTCTTTCAGCTGGATTGACACCACAGTATTCTTGTTAACAGTAAAATGGAGTTAGCAAGACATCCGAGTGGGTAGAAAGTTATCTTTTAGGTTGCAGGTCCCATCATCCCCCACGTGCAGGGAGCTTTTTGGGATCCATATTCCCCCCAAAGTCACCTGTCCAAGGCCAAGAAACCAGGGATGCCTCCCTGGGGAAAAGTGAGATGAAAATGAAATTAGAAGGTCTACACAGATTCCAGTGATGGCAAAGGAGGCTGTGGGAGCATGGGGATGTAAACACAAGATGAATGGGTGTGACGTCAAGGCAAGGCAAAGTCCATCTATTTGAGTCCACCAGTGCTAGAGAGAAAGCACAGCAGACACGCCGGCAGAATCCTTCCCTCCTCTGCCATTTTTTAAAAAAACAAACAAACAAAAACCAAAAACGAGGTCGGGAAGGGCTGTTGCCAAAGAGCCGGCCATGCCCGTGGTCGGTGTGATATTGACTTAGGATCCCTCGGCAGGCTGGCTTGAGCTCTTCCTGAGGAAATGGAGTCGGGCTTGCACCGAGCCAGCCAAAGAAAACACCAGTTGTTGTGGGCAGCTCGGTCGGAGGGATGTTGAGTCATGGCTGGGCTAAGGGGTTGACGCCTTGTGGGTCTCAAGCGAGCGGTGCTGAGACGGCTGGGTCCTGTTGCCCCCCCACCCCCCATGGCCCATCCGTCTTTCCCAAGGCTGGCCTTGGGAGAGCAGAGGGGCCAAGGGAACCTTTGGGGAGAAGCACATCTTGTCTTGCGGGGCTGCCCAGAGAACAGGGCAAATATACTTTCCCTGGAGACCTTTGGCCGAAGGACCCACCGAAGGCTGTCCTGGTCTCCTGCAGTCTTGACATCTGCCGGAGATTTTCCTGCCCAGCTCAAGTCAGATTGCATGTAAATCAGTGCCAGGAAGGTGGTGGTGGTGGTGGTGGGGAAGAGCTCTCCGTGTACCCACTGGAAACTGAATCCAAAGTAGAAACATATTTGGTGCAAAACGTTCAAGCAATTTGCCCCCTGCCAAAATGTGGATTTCATGATGCCGAGTTTTGGAACGTAGCTGTGAGTGGTTCTTTTTTTCCCCTCTTAAGGTGTAAACTCATGGGCTTGGCGACTTCCCTGCATGACAAATTTATTAAGACACCCTGAGTGTTGCATTAAAAATGATCCTGCCATGAGCAGCCGAGGGGTGTTCAAAACTTTGGGAAGGTCGGATTAAGCTTAAGCACCAAATAACGAGCTCCCCGCCGACCAGGACACACAGAGGGGAGGGCTTTTGCCCCCACATCGACTCTCCCACGTCGTCGTCCTTGAGTTTCTTGGGTGGGTTTTGGATGACATCCTGTCTCGCTTCCCGGATCTCCCCTCTCGAGTGTCCCGTGCTCCTCGGTTTTGGACCCCGGAGCTTAAAAGCGCCCCCTTTGCCTTGCAGTACAAGCAGGAGGAGCTGGAAGGAGAAGGCTGGGAGTACGCCTCCCTCTTTGGCTGGAAGTTCCACCTGAAATACCGCAAGACGGATTCCTTCCGCCGGAGGCGCTGGAGACGCCGGATGGAGCCCCTGGAGCAGATGGGACCAGCGGCCGTCTTTGCCTTAGAAGGTGCTCTGGTAGGTAACCCACCCTGTTTCCCCCCACCCCCCCAAAACACCTGTTTTTTCCCTCCCTTTTTCCTCCCAGCTTTCAGTTTTCTTTCAGAGGGAAGGCCCGTCAGAGGGGCAAGCTGAGAAGGAGCCGAAAATGTCCCCAACTTGTCCGTATGTACATTTGGTTTGGATCTGGAGTGGAAAGTGTTGTGATGGCAAGTGTCCGGAGGCAGTTCGGACTGGGCTGGACAATTAAGAGCTCTTCTTAGGTAAAGGTAAAGGTTCCCCTTGACGTTTAGTCCAGTTGTGCCTGACTCTAGGGCGTGATTATCATCCCTGTCTCTAACCCATAGAGCTAGCGTTTGTCTGAAGACAATCTTCCGTGGTCACGTGGCCAGCGCGACTAGACACGGAACGCCGTGACCTTCCCACTGAGGTGGTCCCTATTTATCAGCTCGCATTTTGCATTTTGCATGCTTTTGAACTGCTAGTTTGACGGCAGCTGGGATAAGCGACGGGGGCTCACTCCAGAAGTGACGGGGGTTCACTCCATTACAGTAAGATTGGCTCACTCTGATCTTACGACAGCTGATCTTCTGACCTCACCGTACGTGGATTCGATCTTACGACGCCTGATCTTCTGACCTCGCAGCACAGAGGCTTCTGTGGTTTAACCCACAGCACCACCCACGTTCCTACAAGAGCTCTTAGCTTTCCCCAAAGTCTTGCTCTGCTGACTATGGACCACCCCGTCCATTCTGAACTGTTCTTGGTGGGACGCTGGCCTTAAGGAGGAGTGTCCATGATGAGCACTCGCACGTCCACATTTGCCATGACACCACAGATGGTGGCGCTGTGGTGATCGGTGCCGGCTGGCAGCACTGGGGAGGCCCCTTTCCATTCCTTAGGATGCCCGGCAGTAGCAGCATTGGGGGGAATTAAACGGGTGGGTCACGGTAGCCGAATGCCAGTCTGGGGTGGGAGTTTTCAGGGTGGGTGGACTTGGTCCTCTGAAGGAGCAAGATCTCTGGAGGGGCATGCTTCATCCTGGGAGGCCGTCCCACGGAGAGTCTGGGCAAAGAGGCCCAGCTTAAGAGTTGGGCTTACTGCTTAAGGACATGCAGGATGCCGGGAAAGGTGACAGAAAGCCCCCAGTTGGACCCATCAAGGCTGGAGATGTGATCCCAGATTCCCAGAAATCAGCAATGTCTCCTCCTCTGGGACAGAGGCTCAAGCATTGAGACAGGTATTCTGTTGTTTTATTTACTGTTGGTGGTCGCTTTTAGTGACATAAAACGGCGACAGTGTTCTTGGAATTAATCACTAGCCAATAAATGACTGCATTAATCACGGTGGCAAATCTCTGCCAATTAATGGGTTGATGCTTTCATTCCTGGCCACGTACCAGTTGCAAGACGTGGCACATGACCAGGAATGTGAATGGTAGCATGCTCCCAGATTAATAGCCACTTACAGCCATGATTTATGCACTTACACTCGTGTAAATCCTCCACAGGGTTCTGGCCAGAGTTAACAGACTCTTAGTCATTTTTAGGAAAAACCGTGTATCCTACCTTGGCTATCTGTTCTTCCCCAGCTAGCTAACCCATGTGTGTGTCTCCAGACACTCCGGACTGCAGATAGTCATACGTTTGCCCTCTCTCCTTTGCAGGCAGCTTTTGTGACTATTCTTGTGTTACAGGACTTTATAAAAGAAAATATAATTGCAGAATCAGTTGCTGCCAAAATAAAGAGGAAGTAGTGTTGCAAGCAGAGTTTTCCTGTGCAGAACCGCTTGCTTTTGCTGAAAAGGCCCTGCTGTTTTTCTTCTTGAGCAGGAGCGAGAAATCTCCTAGCGGTTTATCATTATTTTTCTCAGGATTCCGTGGCCTATCAAGACATGTTGTTTTGTTGAGGACAGGGAAATTTGGAAGCCTTTGTTTGCACCCTCATTAAATGGTGGCTGAAATCTGACTGTTCAGCAGAGTACATCGCAACGAGAGCAGGCCCATTGAATGAATAGGGATTGGGTGAGTCAATTGCGCTCTATGTTCTATTGATTCCAATGGGCCTACTCTAGTTGCAACGTGTTGCACGAAGCACCAGGATTTCAGCTGTTCAACACAAAGCATTGCAGGGTGGGCAGGTGGGTGATTCAGACAAACAACTGCATCTTAAGAAGAATTGCTGATGCTTAAGTGTTGTTGAGCCAGGAAATGGACTTCACTGGCAGGTGTTGGACGCTTCCTCATGAGACAGAGACTGGAGGACTCTCTGCCAGGATTTCTTCGACTTGGATTCCCCCCATATGTCTAGGTGTATCTTGGACTAGGCAGTCCTCAGTGTCCCTTGGAATTCTGTCGTTCTCTGAGTCTATGATTCTAAGATCCATCAGCTTCACAAAAGCCCCGTTCCTGGTGGAGAGGGAAAGAGCTAGACTGGGTGGGTTGAAATGGATCAATGCAGCCGCCGGAAGTTTTGGCCCTCTCCCTGGGGGCCTGGCCTGCTGGGGATGGCTGTGCTGAGCCCCTCCAACCAGCACCCCCTGGCCCATGCTTCCTGGCAGGTCCCAAGGACGAGCCTCAGCTGATCTCCTCATTCCCGAGGAAGTCACGGCTACCTGTCCCTCCTCTGTGTTTTTCTTGTCAACCGAGTTTGCTATTAGAAAGATGGGTAGAAAGGCTCGCTGTTCACCCC